GGCTATCCCAAAAAAATACTGTTTTGAGAAAATCGAGGGCAAAGGTTTTGCCCCTTGTTCAGTTTCTTTAAAAGACAAGGAGAGTTTTCTCTATAACCAAACAAATATACACACCAATAAAACCAAACTTCTCCTATAGGTAGGGCAATGCCCACTTTTGGTGTAGGTCAAGATTTCTGGAAACCCCCAAAATCTGGGTTAGCCCGCTTATCCTTAAAAGCGACCAATTTCTAGCAAGACATGATTCTTTTTTGACTAGATTTTAACAAAGATTCAGATAATAAATACTTCTGTCACAATCAAATTACACAACTTTCTCACTTATCTCAGTCTTCCTTCTCCTTTCCCACAACACTGACAAGGAAAAACAATCGGAGCAATGAACAGTGCCAAATATTATTCCTCAGAAACAAAGTGGTATCAGGAGCCGTCGACTGTCGTCGACATCAGACTGGGCTTTGTCTACAAGTGTGCCCAGACCGGGGTTAACGGTTCTCACATATACAAATTACATATAACTCAATATTTTCACATTCTAAAAACAAAAAACCAGACCAATTTTTCACCTTCTTTCCAAAAGGTCAGAGGATAGAAAAAAAAAGACACCATGGTATTTTTGTATCTGATCGTCATTTCATGGAAGTTCTCGCAAGCAAAGTCCCCAGCTTATGAGATATTATATTTAGTCTGTCGGCCCCTCGGTCACTTTATAGCAGGCATGGGCAAACTAAATTAATATAAAGCCAATGAATCATCTCAGATCTCGATAATAATGAATGTGTGACTGTTGTAGAGTTGACAAATAACTAGAACCAAACTGACCATCTTAAAAATCCAAATCAATAGTTTCTGGCCCAGCTGGAAGGAATAAATCTCAAACTTTATCTCATGAGAAGCCCTTTATTGACAAATAATATATTGGCCTACTAAAGTGTCAATTTTAAGTCTCACTTTTGAGAGTGCGGGCATATCAACCAATTCCACCCAATTTTCTCTAGTTCTGGCCAGTGAGATTTTAGCGCAAATCTCTACACTCGGCCTGCAACATGTACCGGTGCACACTTGCCCGTGTCAGCTGTAGTGTAGAGTACACGCCTACTACACGGAGAGGAAGTGACACACAGTGAGTCCTGGGTGGTCAGTGTGACAGACAAGTTTGTGGGAACTGTTTGGCTGGTCGTCAGTGCAATGTCATTATCACTAGCGTCATTGTCATGTCTTCATCACTAGACCGTGAAGTGTGAACAGTGTGGAGGGCTGTCAGTCTTATGTTATCATCACAGTGAAGTGTGAACAGTTTGGAGGGCTGTCAGTCTTATGTTATCATCACAGTGAAGTGTGAACAGTTTGGATGGCTAGTCGTAAGTGTCATGTCACCATCACTAGACTGTGAAGTGAGAACAGTGTAGTAGGACGTCAGTATTATGTCATCATCATTAGACCATGAAGTGTGAACAGTTTTGGGGGTGAACTGTGTTGCCAATCTGTCAGTGTCATGTCATCATCTCTAAACAGTGAAGTGTGAACAGTTTCGGTGGCTGTCAGTCTTATGTCATCATCCCTAGACCGTGAAGCGGGAACAGTTTGGAGGGCTGTCAGCATCATGTCATCATCACTAGACTGTGAAGTGTGAACAGTTTGGGTGTGAACTGTGTTAGCCAATCTGGCGGCCGTGAAATGTCGGGGCCAGCACTGTAGGAGCAGAGGCAGTACAAGTGACCTTGAGATATTATATCGCAAACAGAAAGGATCAATTTTCTGCCCACAGACCTGTCTTCTTCTTCTTTGCGTTCCGCTGCAAGATCCCGGGGGGGAAGTCGACTGCTGGTTCTTCAACTTCAACCAGTCTTCCGCAAACCTCAGTGTTTTGCATTTCAATCTATTTCCAAATTTTTCAAACTCAGGAAAACAAAAAGAAGGATGTCTGCACGAGATTGGCAGAGGAAGAATCATCGTCATCGCAACCAAAGGTCAAACATCATCGTCACGAAAGGTCAAATATCATCGTCATGAGACGTCAAACAGAGAAGTCAAGGATCACCATCAGTCAAGGATCATCGTCACGAGAGGTCAAATATCGTCGCCAAGAGAGGTCATGTGATCTGCAACTGCCACTACCCGGCACTTCGAGAAACAAGACTGAAACTTTCCATCTTTACTTGGAGAGTGAAAAAACCTGGCCGGCCGGGTGCCTCAGGGCAGAACCTCGTAGTGGTTCTCTACGGCTGTGTCGCGGTGGTCGACGTTACTGTACGTGTGTCGATCCTTGTCCTTGTCTACATCTTTGCCCGTGTCCGTCGACTTCCCGGCGTCAGTCGACTTCCCCGCTGGGGTCACGTTCACGTCTTCCTTAGACGACAGGCTGCTCATGTCGATGTACTCGCCCTGGTTGCTGGAGCAGTTGCAGGTCTTGGAGTTCGCCGAACTTTTCCCAACTGCAGCTGGCCCGCCGTTACCGACGAGGGGAGACTTTGACCGGCTGCTGGACGCCATGAGGGGCGTGGTCAGGTCTCCACCGTCAAGGTCAGACCCGCCGCAGGCTCCCAGCTCCGAGATGTTGCCCAGGGAGGAGCAGGCAGAGTTGCTGGCCCCTGACAGTGGGTCTCGGCACGTGCAGGGTTGAGCGGAGAAGTTGACGGAGTGTAGGTGGTTCCGTGGCTTGTTTACCTAGGGGTGAGAAAAAGAAAAAAAAATGGTTTTATAAAATAATAGTCTGACGGATCTACAACCATTTTCTAGCTGGGACTATAAGCAGATGGACTTTGAGGTAGGTCCTGAGGACAGAAGGGAGCAGCTAGAGAATTGTAGGCTTACCATCAGCCATGATCCCAACATTGTAGACAAATAGACTGAAAAAGTAGTAATTAAGAAAGTAGTAAAAGTCATTTAGGGGCAACAAGGCAGTAACAGCTGGTCAGTGGTCTGAGAAAGAGGGGAAAAAATTGTTTTTATGAAATGGTCCGACAGATCTGCAACCAGATTCTAACTGGAGATACTGGAGATATATTATAAGTAGATGGACTTTGAGGAGAAATGGGGGGCTAGGGAATTGTACTAATTGTAGGCTTACCGTCAGCAATATCCCGACCTTGTAGACATATAGACTGAAAAAGTAGTAATTAACTCTTTCAATACCAGGGGTTTTTCCTCACCTGGACCGGACCCTATCTGTGATTTACTTTCTGATTCTGCCTACCGTCGGACAAATTACAAATATTTTTTTTTTTTCAATTTTCAATATTAGCCAAATGTATTATAGGCCAATATATGAAAATATAGAGGAAATAATTACCTTCTCAACATGTCGCTAAAAACGATCATTCTTCAGCCTGAGATTTCAGATTCGATTATTTGACAAAAATAGGCGTGGTTTTGATGAAGGAAGTGGAGAGCGGTAAAATACAGCTCACGGTCCAGTATTGGGGGTAACACGAGCCCTGAAACATGGCTTATGGTTGTGAAAGAGTTAAAAGTAAGTAGTAATAGTCATTTTTGGGCAACAAGACATTAACAGCTCATGCCTGGTCTGAGAACAAAAAGCATGTGACAACATTGTGGAAGAAGGAGCTCATCATGTTTTTTGGCATATATGCAGCCATTGGTACCATCTTAAAGCTTGTATTATATTTGTCGTGCTTTTTATTGTAAAAATACCTTGCTATCTTGACTAGAAGTAGACTCATATCTGTGATTGAAGGACGTGGGGTCACCTGGTGCCTGAGGTAAAATATATTATTATTTTATTATGTATTTGAACGGGCTCATTTCGTAACAATGTGTGAGCGGGAGTGTGTAATAAGCCAGTAGATGTGTGT